TGTTCTACCACCTGCGGGCGACCACTTAGAGCTTGTGACAGTCGACAAATTAACAGAATTAATTATAAAAACCTCAAAAAGAAATCAGCACCCGGCCCCGATGGCATTAGCAACAGGGTGCTGAAACCTCTCTCCAGGCCACTTTTATGCCTCCTAGTTCTTAGTCCCTCCAATTTAGCCTTTAGTTACAGACCAATCAGTCTCTTCAGCATACTGTGGAAAGTTTACGAGCAACTCATAATGATTCGCCTTCGTAAATACATCTTCGCTAATAAAATTCTTCCAGACGAGCAGTTCGACTTCAAACCCGAACAGTCGAGTACCAAATAGCTACATTGCCGTACAGAATACATTCTGAAAGGGTTTAAATTCCCAAAAAGAAGTGCCGTAGAATCACTTCGAACTGTGCTCTATTCTTCCACGTCGCAAAAGCGTTTGACAAAGTCTGGCACGACGGCTAGCTTTATAAGCTGTATAAACTCAACGTGCTTGATAAGCTCACCCACATCATCAGAGCCTTTCTTACCAATCACCAGTTTCGCTATCGAATAATAGGCACTCGCTCCACAAAACGTCCTCACAAAGCCGGACAGACACGGCACTTTACGTCGCCCACCATAATAAAAGAATCCTCACCGAGATGATCCAAACAGCAGTCAACCGCTTAGGCGATTGGTTCTCCTTGCGGAGAATCGAAGTAAGCCCTGAAAAGTGTAGCAATATACTTTCAAACCATGCCCACTCTCTATCGACAATACAAAATCCCAAGAATTGTCGGATCCGCCTGTACGGCCGCCAGATCCCCTGGCAATCAACGGCTAAATACCCAGGGGTCACATTTGACCACCGTATGACATTGGCGAAACACATTCGCAATGTCCGCAATCGTGCCAAAATAGTCACTAGTCGCCTCCACCCGCTAGTTAACAGAAAGAGCAAATTGTTCTTAAGACACAAGCTTCGTCTTTACAAAGCATGCTTAAGACCTATAATGTCTTACGCAAGCGTAGTTTTTGCGCACGCGCCCCATAGACACTTATACAACCTCCACGTCATCCAAAATAGATTCATTCGCATTGTCGGTACCAGCGAAATTCCGACTTGCACAGAGACTGTCAACTTCTGACGATCGCTAAATATTTCAAGGAAATGTCTCGGTGCTATTTTGAGAGGGCCGAGACATATTCCAACCCGCTAGTGGTAAATGCAGCCACATAAGCTCCGAGTCCGAAAGTTACGGAAAGCTTCCGGAGGCCCCGTAATTTTCTAATAGAACCCCCGTCCCGCTAGATGCCGACTATCGAAATGTAATCGACCAATCACACATAAACACTCTATTATTATTTTTTTTTATAGGATAAGGCTGACATATACGCACCATATGCACTTTAAACTGTCCTAGCAGTCATCGTTACGCAATTACCGACGCAGAATTATAAAAATTAAAAAAAAAGGTGAGTCCGTTTGCCCTATAAAAGCCATCAGGCTAACAGCACAAACATCATCAGAAACCAGTATATACATATATTTATATATATATATATATATATATATATATATATGTGTATATATATATATGTATATATATATATATATATATATATATATATATATATATATATATAATGAAATATAATTAAACTTTAAAAAAGAAATTTCTTAAATAATTTTTTCCCCGACCTATTATAATACATTTTTGAAAAATTTTATTTACTTAATGTTAGAACATGAACATGAACTAGAAACGCCCGTAGATATTGCGATAAGCAACTTTTGAGTTGCGAAACTTCAACGGACTCTCGAAGTCTTCAATAACTGATATTTTACACTGGTATTCTGTGTGAGCATGGTCCTACCCCGATCGAGCCGACCTATTTGTGCTACAACCATAATTTAGCTGCAACGTGGCCGTCTACCACGTATAGCATGCATGGGACGTCCCTCCTTATAGAAAAAAAGTTTTTAACCCAGTATCTGTATTAAACCATATGTTTTATATGCCTCCATTTTTTTCATTTATTTATTGAACGTTCGTTAAATATACCAACGGTACGCAATGAGTAGGGTAAAGATGTAGAATAAGAGAGTTCCTAAAATGAGAAAGTTCGTTTACTTGTCGTGAATGACAGAATTATCGTTTGCTCAATCAATCGGTCGTGTTCATACGTGCATTATTAAGGTACCGGCAAAAAGGCGAAAAAATAACCTACCACCTCGACTTTTGTCAGATACAGATACGAAATGTTTTCGTTATCAGTTGCAAGGTATGTTAAACCATTAAAAATAAGTACAATTAGATAAAGAGTGAATTTTAATGTTCCAATTTATTTTATTGTGTTTATTACATATAACAAACATGAAATTTGATTACGTTGGTTTATCCACTATATGAGATACCAGTCGGATCCTAAAATGAGATATCACACATCAAGTACCCTATTTTGTGCTTTAGTTACAAACAATAGTTTTCATGTACACTTCATATTTATTGAAAATGCCGCCAATCAAAAGAAAAATTTGGGATTACGCCACGCATGGGAGGTAAATAAGCATGAAAAATTGCTATTGACAACTTCATTAATCCCAACGAGGGTCGAACTCGCCTTACTCAAGTACTATGAAACGGAGCAAGAGCTTATTCCTGAATTATTACGGTTCTTTATAAGTCGAAGTATCTAGTATTATATGTACTTAGTAGTTGTAAAAATAAAAGATTGCTTTTTATCTTATAAGGTACATAATTATAAATATTCTCTTAACAGTATTAAATAATACTAGCATAATGTAAAAAATAAGTAGCATATATAATAAATAAATTGTTTCAAGACTATTTTGTAATACTGGCATAGATAAAAAATAATAATATAGATATCACTGCCGGTTTAAATATTTACACAACAATTTCCATACTTTACAAACATGTTACGTATGCGTTAATGGTATGTAGTAAATTACCTGAGTCAAATTCCTTCCAACCCGACAAAATTTATTGCTACAATAATTTATAGCTACACGACAATTATTATAATGTCTTTCCTAATATAAAATATTTGTATTTTTGAAAATCTTCAAATTACTCGGTGTTAAGGTTTCTTTTATGCCTAGAAGTACGTCTAGGTTGGTACTGTCTTTTTTTATTTATTAAAGCATCACCAACGTTTGTATACATTGTTAAAATTATAATTTACATACCTAGGTAGTTAGGAAATTAAATTCTACAAACTATTATAGGCGATCACAAATCAAAAATAATAAATACAGCAAATTAGAACGTTAAAAAATATTTTAAAAACTTAAGCTATTACATTTGCATTATGATTGAGTAGTTCTTTTCTGAACTTGTTAGTTGAGTCGGAATTAATATCAAATGCATAGGAAAGTTTATTGATCAATTACTCAACATAGAGATCGGGGAATTCGCGCCAAACACCGTTCTGGTCTGAAAGGAATTATTCTGCTACGGGGGTAACCTATGAGGTAGGCGAAATTTTATCTTATTCAACAATTGAGGGCAGTTAATTTTATTATTTAATTATTTTCTTAAGAAGAGTAAGTCGGATATTGATGTAGTTTTGAAAAAAGATGAAAAAAGCGGTTTTTATACGTAGAAAGTTTCTTTTTTGAAATTAGATTAGAGTATACTAAATGCCACCTAAATCTTTTCCGTATCCGTTCTAAGCGTGAAGAATAAGTTGCGTAATGTGGTCTCCAAACGACGGAACAATATTCCAAGATATTTCGTACTGTTTTAGGGCCTTCTTTTGGTTTTATCGCTGCGGAAAAATGTAATGTCTCTAAAGAAATTCTAACATTTTGGTGGCACGTTTTGTAATATATTCCATATGCAGTATAAATGGGAGCTTGCTGTTAAATATGACGCCTAGATTCTTGGTCTCTTTTATTTACTGTAAATTATTATTGTATAAGTGATAATTGTAGTAAACTCAAATTCATTTATTCGAGCAAATTTTACGTAGAATAATTTTTTTGCATTGATATCTATTTCATTCAAATTACACCATTGAAAGAGATTATCGCGATCACACTGGAGTTTACGTGCATCATCTATGGTTAAATCTGTTCTTAAAAATGAGGAAAAAATTTAAGTCATCTTGGCATACGTAAGGTTCAGAGAATTTAAGGCACAAAGGCTCTTCTGTTACAGTGGGCTGTTGTTCACCAGATGTTATTCTACCCAAACTCGACTTAAAGCCATTGATGACTACATAAAAAGTACTGTTGGTTAAATAAGACCAAACCCATTTCATTAAGCCATTACAGATTCCATATGCGAACAGTTTTTTCAGGAGTAAATTATGTGAAATGCGATCAAAAGCCTTACTGAAATTCGCGTACATGACGTCAACTTGTTTATTTCCATCAAGGGCTTCATAAAGAGTTTCAATTAAGCTTACCAGATTAGAGTTTGTTGGTCTACGTTGAACAAACTCGTGTTGTTTATCACTAAGTAATTGATTAACCCTTAAACGGGCACACCATGTTTTACGCGTTGTTTAAACTATAAAATGCGAAATACACTGTCTATTAGGTATGGAAAAGGAAAATAATTTGAAATTTTTCAGTTTTTTTTTAATTTTCATTGTTTTTTCATATGTACCCTAAAAATGACATTGCTCGATTATGCAGTACTATAGGTTCTCAACACCTGTCACATAAAACGGACATTGTCCGTTTAACATAATAAAAATACTCATAGAAAACAATACTTAACGTAACAATAACATAACTTAATCACAGTTTTGAGATCTTTTAATTATTTAGGAACCATTAACCTCAGACTTACATTATAAATGCAAAATAATTAGACATGAAGAGTAACAAAATTAAAACATTATGCTTAAAAAACGAACAAAAAACAAATTATTCGTTCTTCATCAAAATTAAAACATTCTTCTCAAAAAACAAACTAAAACAAATTATTCTTTTTTTAACAAAATTATAATATTCTTCTCATAAAACAAACTAGAAACTAATTATTCTTACTTCTTGTGGAATATACGAAAACAATTTTTCTTTGATGTACAGCAGAGTCTTTGGTTGCATTTAGAGCATACAACAATGGTCTTGCCGTGCCTGCACAAACGGCATCGACCCTTTTTTTTTTTTTTTTGCGGATGGAAAATCATCTAATGACGCCTTTCGCTGTGGGTGGAGCGGAAGGGAGTGTCAGACTTTTACTGACTAAAAACCATCCGTGTTCCTTCAGTGCCCTTACGTTCCGGAGCCGCGGTATCTCTTTCGAACAGCCCGCAGCCCCGGCAGGCGTCGGCCCTTGCGGGCCCCTTCACGCTGCTGACAGCTCTTTGAGGCGCGCGTGGAACAAAACGCACCGTCGACACGGCCTGTCGTCGTTAGACGGACGGACGGCGAGCTACCCATTGCTCGCCGTCCACAGGCCCGCGCCTACGGTGGTCGGGGGCCACGACATAGCCCCCGACGCCCGGGGCGTCTCCCGCGGTGGTGTAGTGAATTCAATAAAATGATCAAAGCGATCGTAACGAATTTCTTCTATGGGTCGCGGTACGAATGGCTTAGCAATCAGATCAGCTGGTGCATCATCTAATGTAACTCTCTGAGATGCTGTATTATTGCCCTGGATTAGAGCAAGGGCAACCTGCATGCGGAACTTTTTTAGTGGCAGTGATTTCTCTGTAAGTTACGAACAATCATGACGGTGCAACAACCAGCTATTATTTAGGGCAATATCTAATACCTGGGCAAATATTGAGATATACCAACGCCTAGTCTTCATGTGAATGCGGTATAATGCAGTCAACATGTCCGCAATATCCACTCCACCCATATGAGCATTGTAGACTTTGATGACTTTTGGACAAGGCACAGAAATTCTTTTCTTCTCTCTTTTATCGTATCTTTCTATTGTAGTAACCGGATCTTCTGCACAGAATGAGCTGGCAATATGAATTAATTGATTGTCTACCAATTTAGTTACTGCTATTTTCTTGTCATTGTCACACATTACTTCGTAAGTTCCTCGTCCCTTCTTCTTCATTACCTTGTCACTACTTAAACAACAGTTACGCAATCGGTCTTTTCTTATTGTGCCCAAGGATAATACACCCCATTCATTCCGCAAGTGGTAAAGTAATTCCAGTGACGTAAACCAATTGTCAAAGTATACTGTACACAGAGTGGGATTAGATATTGTCTTGCACAATCTAATGACTGTCTTACCTCCAACACCAAGGTAATTTTCTTCCCATTCTGTGAACTGTGTATCCTGAAATGTGTTTGAACCATCGTAAGGGAAAAAATCGTAGACCATCCCCGAGGACCCAGCTCGAACCAGAAATTTAAATCCCCATTTGTGTGGTTTTTTGGGATTATACTGTTTCCTGTGACCTGCTTTTTTACCTTTATAGGGTATGATCATCTCATCTATAGCAAATGCTCTTTCCTCCTCTATTTTGAGACATTGCTTACGTACATGCTCTATCACAGGAGACACTTTGTGGTAGCTATCACTGTGGTTGACATTTGTGTTATCGCAAAAATGAAGATAGCGCTTGATACATTTGTATCGTTTTAGGGACATAGCAGTTGCAATGGGCTTAAATCTAAGTTCATTGCTCCAGTAGTCATCGATAGATGGCATTTTCACGATACCCATGATAATCTCAATACCAAGTAGCGTCTCTACTTCCTTTTTTGACACGCATATAGATTTACCGGTATTCTGTACGGAATACAGGTTAGTCATTTCCACAATGAAAGTTAGTAAATCGTCGGTAAACAATTTTTTTAAATATGCCACCGGACGTATCACTTCATGCTGCTCAAGAAAGCTAGTGCCTGAATCCACATCGACGGCACCAGTATATTTCGTTTTCTTGAATGAAAACTCTAGTTGACTCATTTTACGCTTTCTAGAAACAGGTGGACGAATTGGCACTGGTGACGATTCAACATTTGCTGTTTGTCTGTTACTACGCGTCGTTACTCCTGGTGCCAGTGGCGTTCCAATAGGAGTCGAGTATAACGATTCCGGCACGTAGCAGGGTGGTAGATGAGAACGGCGGGTAGTAGCAACGATTGGCGACGATTCTGACGTTAGTGGCTGTCGCGTCCTTACTCCTGGTGCAAGTGGTTCTGGATCAAGGTCATCAGAGTCGCTCAAATCTTGCAGTAGATCATAAAGACCAGCAGAAACTGATCTTGGCGGTGAAGACACTGGTGAGGATCCACTATAGTTATGAGAGAAAAACTCACGCGCTCCTATTATCCTTTCTGCGTCATCGTCAGACTCCAAATCTGAATCATCTGACTCTAAAGGAGGTAAAAGAGTCAGAATTTTCTTTGACCTCCATCCTTTTCCCGCCATATCGCTGAAAAAAATGACATTTATGATATATAATACTGTTTAGAAAAGAATTATTATAGCGTTCCAATATAGGCATTGTCCGTTTTTTGTGACAGATATGTAATACACAACATAAAGGGTTATCAGGAATTGTCCGTTTTTTGTGACAGATATGAAAAACACAACATAAAAGGGTTATCAGGCAATGTCCGTTTTTTGGGACAAACATTAATATTACTAATTTTAGAGTTTGCGGGCAATGTCCGTTTTTTGTGACACATAGGTTTACACGCGAATCAAGTAGAAATCACAAGTACTTTTTACAAAATAACTATTGTTTAATGTTCTTTAACTGTTAATGAAACATATTTAATCGCGACAGTGTCGTAAAATGGAGTAATACTTACATTTTCGATTTTCAAATGTAGAGCACAAAAGCTCTCCGCCATTACGCTTGTTAAACTGGTCGCTGCTTGTCACGCGTCGCGTGCGCATCTCTTCTCACCGCGTAAGTAGGAAAGAGATAGCCTAACAGACGCCCCGTTATACTCAAAGCGCGCCAGCTTTCGTTTTAATTTGAATTGTGGCCATTTTAATGACACGTCCTAAAAAACGGACAAAATCCGTTTAAGGGTTAAGATGATCTTGTGGAAAAGGACATACCAAATCTTCAAAAATTTCAACAAATGATGACTGTATTGAAATGGGCCTGTAGTTTATGACTGAATCTTCAGTTACCGATTTATAAATAGAAATAACCTTTGCGATTTTCCATTTAGCAAGCAAGAAGCCTGTTGAGAGCAATTTATTGTAAATCAATGACAGGGATACCAAATATTTAACACAATGTCGCCATTACAACGAGTAGATTCCATCAGGGTCAGGACCTTTATTACCGTCAATACTTTTTATTTTGTTTAAAAATTATTCGTTATCGATAACAATAAGTAGACAGACAAAAGCATGTAGACTATAGTATTCTAAATAATTTAAATAATTAGAGTGAACATAATTATTGGAAGCATTGGTAACCCCATCAGTATATACAGATGCAAATTGAGATGACGTTAGTTCACATACTTGTTCACCATCTGTAGCAATTACATTTCCGTCACTCATTGAAATAGGGCATGCACTACTACCACAGCGTTTGTTTTTGTGACCAAAATGATTTAGACTTAGTGGCTATTTGCTTCTCCAGGTTACTAAAATAACGGATATAGCACTCTATTACCATTCGCGCACAACAATAACTTAATAATTTTAACTCTAATTCATCCGGTTCTCCATAGGGTTTACATATTTTTTAAAACGACACCTGTTTTAATATTTATCTTTACGGGTTATGACTTACCTCAAACCAAACAAACTCCAGTCAATACTATAGGTAAATTAGAATCACCAATTACACAATGATTATCACATTGTTCGATAACAAAACTAAAATTATATAAAAAATGCTCAAACATAGAATAATGTACTGGTGTACTGGTGGCGGCAAATAAACGAAACAAAGCGCTATCTTGCGAATAGTTTTTGAAACCGTTGCATCTATTACAACTCAGAGATACACAACAATTCACCATTTTACCTGTTGTTTAATTTTGTTCTTTATCTCCACCTAGAGGCTGCTGCTGAGCGATTCTCCCAGATAAAATATCTTTTAAGGCCTTAACAGTGGTTGAAATGCCTAAATCTAGGATATTTAAGTAAAAAAATCTCAATAACTGTTCATTTAATCCACAAAGAAAAAATACAAGATAACAGAAGAAGATTTGGTAAATGTTTTTAATTTAACAAAATTGTATTTTTGTCAACCCCTTATTAGAAAAAAAATCCCCAAAGAGTACCTATCTTTGTCATATTTTGCAAAATTTCTCCAAAACGGCACAAGCTTTTTAAATAGTTCTTACACTAAAAAAAGGGTCTTAAAAATATTAATATTTTTAATTGAGAGTTTTATTTTTATTACCCGTTTTATAAGAGAATATATCATTTTTCTCTGAAATTGAATATATTTACGCGAGCGCGCATGCTCCGTCGCCATGTAAGCTCTGTCACAGTCCGTTTTCGGATATCGTCGAGGGTGGACCGCACGTCGGTGTTGGAGCGACTTCGTTCAAATATATATTAGTTTTTTAAAAGTTTATACTCAATTATAAATATTTTTATGACAAGAAATACTTAATTTAGTTAATATCTGTACACTGGTAACTGTAAATATTATTTTCTAAATAAATGAATTTTTAAGGTGCCCAAAGAAGAAGAAATTTTTGCGGCGACGTTGATTAGTGAAATTGAAAAATGCATTTTTATATAATTTAGATGTGGAACGACGAACATGCTCTCGTTACTTAGATTTCGATAGTTTTTAATACCTATGTAATTTTATTGTTGCATATTTTTATTAATTAGTTGATAATGAATTTATAATTATGTATTACAATAAACCGCTGTTTTTATAAGTATGACTTAAATATGAAATAAAGATAAAGATACTTACATTTAGGTACACTGTTATCAAATGAAATCAAACAATTTAAATAAATAAAAGAATGGTGCTTACCTAAGTATAAATAACTATATAAAGATATTCTTGGCTTTATGGTTTTTTTTTATGTTAGACAAACTATCATCTAAAAAATGTAAAAATTTTAA